TTTTTTTTTTTAAAGAAAGAGTACTATTTTCTATAATTTCAGGAAAACAGTCACAAATAAAATACTGTATTTTAAAAGTTGTCTATGTTTTAATCACTGATTTGCTTTCCAAACTGACTGCAGTTTTCCAGAGCAGCTTTTGGGGTGACCTTTTTGGAAGGGGCTTGTTTCATGGCGAGGCCACAGGATGCAGCCCTGCACCTGATAGGGACGGGCACTGGGCAAGCGCAGCCCTTGCAAGAGGCTGGAGGGTTTCACATGCTCAGGAGCAGGTTTAAAACCAGAGCTGAGCGACATTTTAAGTTGGTAACGCTCTACCCCAGCTGTATGTACATTCCTTCTGGGGGTACAGTCCAGAGTCATCCTGAATCACCACCACCACCAATGGGACCCTTTTGCCATTAAAACTGTCTATTTTGGCACTGTATAGTCAGCGAGGTGGACAAAGGTCTGGTTCTCCCCAGAGGCAAGGCCAAGCTGACCCAGCACAAGCCTTCAGAGACCAGGACAACCGAAACACCGGTGACCGTTCACCACTCTCCCTGGGCAGAGCGGGAGGAGACACGAACGGCACAAGGGGAGCAGAGCATGGCGGGCTCCTGAGATGAGCATGGCTGAGCTGACACAGACCTAGAGAAATGGGAAGCTGAGCCCCACCAGGGTGTTGCTTCTGAATCTCATCAGCCAGACCCCAAAACCCGCCAAAAAACCCCAGAGAGATTTAGGGTCTTTAGAACAGCTTTAATACTCTTCATTCTGTGCTTTCTTCACCGTAGGACAGCAACATGCCCCTTGGAGGACACACATGCTGTCAAGCAGGCATACAGAAAATTGTTCACAAAATACATGTGGTTTAACTCACTTCACACAGCAGAATACCAGCAAGCAGTTAATTTCAGTGTATGGAACATGACCCGTCACACGCTCAAGTATCCTTCAACTTTCAACAGACTCGAAGTACAGCCTTCAAATTTTGTCTTCAGATGTTAATACTCATACTATCAATTGCTATGGGAAAATCCAAATGCTCATAGTGACTTCATGTCCACAAGGAAAGCAAAAATAAAAGTTTGCTTTCCCCATTAATCTTTCAATTTTTATGTTAAATATACTTGAGACCCTGGCTGGTCAGTACCGTTAGGACTTTCAGACACAAACTCAGAAAACAGTATTCTCTCCTTGTGTGGAGAGAATTCATGGGCATTCATTAATTAATTTTCAGTGGCATTCACTAATCATTGTCCTGCTTTCAGCTGGGATAGAGTTAGTTTTCTTCCTAGTGTGAGAAATACGGTGATTCGTGTAGGATAAAAAGGAATGATTTTATGCATATATAGGTATATTAAATTGATACCTGGAGAAATTGCTAAGCATAGCTAGAAGCAGGATGTGCATCTATACGCTTGAGCAATAGATTAACGAGCTGTATGTCCAAATATGGTCTTAAGATAAATGTGGTTAAGTTTTTGTGCGGTATGCTGTGACGAACAGTGACTGCCTCAACAATGGTACAATGAAGAAAGACTATCCAAGAGCCGGCCGAGACTGGTTCGAACCTCAGACCCAGGCCAAAGGAAGAAGAAGGTGAAAAGTTTGCCTGAGGAAGACCAGCTTTACTTCATCTTGGGGTCCCTCGAACGACCACCAGAGAGCACCACGCAGACTCAGAAGAACTTTTTGGCTAATCAAAAAGCGGGGAGGGGTGCGGCTAGAAAATTACTATGTATAAGCTGATTGTGAAATCAAATGAATATGTAAAGCTTTGGGGCATAAATAAGGGAAATGCCATTGTAATAGTTGCGCTTGTCGGTAGAGCGGGAAGAAACTCGCTCCCACAGCGCCCAGCACTGTTTGCTTGAGCCTTATCCAATAAAATAATTTTTAAGAATCATATGCCTGGTGAGTAGCCCTATTTATAACACTAGTAACTGATATGGTGCTGTGCTTTGAATTTAGGATGAGAATAATGCTGATAACACACTGATGTTTTAGCTGTTGCTGAGCAGCACTCACACTACATCAAGGACTTTTCATCTTCTCACCCTGCCCCGGGGTGCAGAAGAGGCTGGGAGGGGACACAGCTGGCAGAGCTGACCCCAACTGGCCAGAGGGATATTCCACACTGTATTGTGTCATGGTGAACATGCTGAACAATAAATTGGGGGGAATTGGCTGGGGGGCGGCTGCTCGGGGAATGGCTGGGCATCAGTCAGCAGATGGTGAGCAATTGCACCGTGCATCACTTGTTTTGTGTATCCTTTTATCATTATTATTTTCCCTTCCTTTTCTGTCCTATTAGACCATCTTAACCAACAAGTTCTACCTTTTTTCTGATTATCCTTCCATCCCATTGCAGGGGAGAGTGTGCAAATGGCTGTGTGGTGGTGAGCTGCCTGCCTGGTTAAACCACAACAACCATAAGATGTTTCATGCTCTTGTGTTACAGTGGATCGATCATAGAGCACAACGGAAGCAGTGTGTGGTGCTCCTGTACTTGTGCAAACCCCTAATGCAGGTGCTCGTTGAGGCACCATGGGGAACAGCCCCCAGACCCATCCTGACCCAGCAGCGTGCCGGGGGCGCAATCTGGAGCTCTGCAGCCTTTTTCACCACCTGAACATGGTGAAAAGCTGGGGCAAGGGCACAGACACGACCTGCATGGCCACTTCTCAGCACAGCACAGACCTTGCATTTTGCTTTGTTCAACGGGCACACTTGTCTGCCTGTAAGTTAATTAGAGCTTATCACTTCCAGAAAGGCAGCATGGGCAAAAGCCAAGTGCCTCCCTGCTGCTGTCTGCACAGGAACCGGTTGTGAGACAACACACCAACATCATCAGAGATGCCGACTCCAACCAACGCTGTCCGGCAGAGCGCAGTGCTCCTGGGTGTGAGAAAGAGCCTGCACCCAGTCTGTTTCACAGAACCCTCTATCTGGTGGACAGACGCCTTATCAAGGTGCTGTAACACCA